TGACTCTCGATTTTTTTTACTTAACGTGACCCTCGAATTTAGGAAAATAGTTTAATATGATATTTTGACAAATATTTTTTATCATTATCCGTTATGATGTTGACATGACATTTCACGGTGCTGATATGACAGACTATGATGAATGATGACGTGATTTTTTTAAAGTTCAAGATCTTATTTATTTTTTTGCAAAATACAAATATTTTAAATTTAAAATATAAAAAATATTACAAAGTTAAATATAAAAATACCATTAATTATTAGTATTATTTATTAATAAAAATAGGATATATTTAATTTTAAAATATTATTATTTAATTTAACTTACCATTTTATTTTCTATTGAAATTACAACAACAACAAAAACAATCAAAATGGATTGTGTATCAATTAAAATAAGGATAATGAGAATTCACAACTAGAATGAGAGCATAATATGACTGTCAAATATCCTAGACTGATCTTTATCATATTAGTCTCAAACCCTGTCGTTTATCAACGTATAATTTAAGTGAATAGAAATATAAAATATGACAATTAAATTATCAAAATATTAACAAAAATATATAAAATTACTTTAACTTTATACTAATTTAAGTGGATCACATCTCATATGTGGTTGGAATAATTAATGAAAATACAACATTTCAGAGATTCTCTTTTATTTGATGAAGCGATTAAAATAAATTAAAAAAATAAACTAAAGGTAAAAATAGAATTATTGAACCACTAAGATAAATAAAAAAAGATTTATAAAAAGGTTAAAAATAGAATTACTGAGCCACTAGGTGTTCCTATACCTTGGACAAAGCTGGAACAATCACATGCTAACTAGAAGAGACCATTGACGCTATCGAGCGTCACAAAAAATGAAAATTTTGACTTTTTAATTTCAATAAAAAATAAAATAGTAAATTAAATTAAATAATTGTATTTTAAAACTAAATATAACTCATTTTTATTTAATAAATAATACTAATAATTAATGATTTTTTATATTAAATTTTTAATATTTTAAATTTTAAATTTAAAAATATTTTTATTTAAAAAATCAAAAAAGCCTTTAAACTTTTTAAAAAATTAATTTGGCCCTTGAACTTGAAAAAAAAATTAGTTCATCTGTCATGTTATCAGGCAAGTCACTAATCATTGTAGACTATCTCAAATAGAGACATGCATCGTCAGAAAATGAGTTCAAATTTATAATCAAGAGTAGAGGTTCATAATAAATATTGTAATACGAGTTCAAAATCCAAATCAGACAAAAAAAATTTAATATCTCAAAGTTCCTATAAGAATATACAAAATCGACGAAAAGTAAATAGTATAAAGTCTAAAAAACGTCCATACTATGACTGAAAGGAAAATCTGCTAGAAATGATTCTTCAAGTACCGGTCGAAATCCTAAAGTTCATAAAGATCTGAAAAGACAAAAATTAAAAGAGTGAGCTAAAAAGTCTAATGTGTCCTCTACACTAAAATAGATAACAATAAATATATTTAACAACAAAAATAATGCATAAACAATAGTGGCATAATTTATTCATCAGAGTGTAACATCATTAAAATGCAATTATACATTTCCTCGCAGATAAACATGAGGAGGATGTTCCCTTTGAAGAGGATCCCAATCAGAAATATAAATCGGTACGAAGATTTTTCCATCCAAAGAGGATCTCAAACATAAACAAGACGATGATATAATCCCATAGAGAAACGGGAGAGTGATATAAATCACATGCAGAAATAGGATGGGGATAGTATCTCATGCAGAAACAGGATGGGGAATTAATCCAATGCAGAATCAGGACAGAGAATTAATCCCATGCAGAATAAAAATGCATTAATATGCAAATCATGAGTGATGCATTCAGAAATCATAAATGCCACAGATAATTCTAATCAGATTACGAACATTTAAACAATAAAATAAAAACACAATAAAACAATACATCAAAAGTATCAAACATGTATATAGAACACACCTATAAAAGATAATCAATATCGGCTAAGCCTTGCGCTTCCCACAATTAATAGTATTATGTTCAGCAAAATGAGAACCTAAAATAATATCCTTCCATTAATACAAATGTCAGACAATTAATAAAAAAATATATTAAAAAGTCACTAATTTAATATTTGTACGTATCTCAAGATGAGCAACCAGAATCGAATTGAGCAGGACGAAAGTGATTATGGTCTTTTGGAGAGTGATATGGAGATATGAGATTACCTTGAGAAAAAAAACCAAAAAGTGAGTCTAAAATCTCACATTTTACTTAGTATAAATAGGACTTTAAATAAGACTTTCAGTGAAAAATAATTCAAAATACGTCGAAAAATATAAAAATAATAAAGTCAAAGGATCAGGCAATAGTATAGAGCTGGTTCGGCAGATTGATCCAGGCAGGCATACTGGTTCAACGGTTTGAACCACCAGAAACATTTCCGCATGCTCACGGCAGCCCATGGGGCGCGTGAGACGTCGTTTGATGACGATTTTTGCATGAAATTTTATAGAAAAATATTTTGATGCACGTGGAACAATTTATCAGGTTCAGTTTAGAAAAAAAAGAACATCGAAATTTGGTTTTTAATGAAATCCAAAACTTCTCCCTCTTCGTTAAAGCTAAGGCCAATGGAAAACAGAAAATCGAGAGCATCAGGCGAACGACAATAAAATAAAAAAAAGGTACCGACGGTGTAATTCACTGTCAAAGAATCGATGACCAAATTGGATTTAAACCAAAAAGGGGAATGGGAAGAAAAGAACAGTGCAGCGGCGGCGGTTTAGCACGAACTAGAGGAGGTAAAAAGAAGAAAGAAAGGAAAAGCTTTTTAAGTTAACTTAAACTGTTGGATAAATTACACTTCAAGTCCTCCAAACTCTTGAAATTTTAAATAAACATAAACATTTTATAATGATTCAATTAAGTTCTAAATTGAGATGTTACATCTCAATATTGTGAATCATCACGTCAGTACCGAGAAATGTCATGTCAACATTGTAACTATCAATGATGAAAATTGTTGGTCAAATGGTCACACTAGATTCTTTTTCTAAGTTCGAAGGCTACATTGGCTATAAAATAATTCAGGTCACATCAATTTTTTTCTAAATATAAGGACTCAATTACCCTTTTATTTAAAATAAATAATTAAATTATGAAAATAAAAAAATAAAAAAATGGATTTAAGGATAATTCCAGATTCACCATTTCAATTGTTCTTGCCATCATAAGATAAAGTGCTCAATAAGTCTATGATAACATGTTAGGAGTTTTTCAATAATTATGGCAACACCAATAACACAATATATGTACTCTAACAACACCAATCAGACACAAAATCAACCAATATAACCACAACACAAATAAATCGAGGCGTCAATATTTTTACGTGAAAATCCCCTCTAAATCAATGATAAAAACCACAAAACTTTAGAGTCTGATCAAAATCTTCACTATCATCAAATGTTCAACTATAAGATCACAATATGCAGTCCACATCAATCATTTAACTATGATAAGATTGCTAACAAGTAATATTTAACAAAAGAGAGAAAATTAAGAGAACGTTGCTAGAAATGTAGTCTGTTCTAAAATAAGATTTTTCGACATTATAAGACTAAAATTCGATCGTATAAAATTAAGAACATTTTATTATCTAGCTGCTATCAAAAAATTAACTCAATCGAATCATGGATGGACATCCATTTTCTCTCAAACGAGCCTCTTTCTCTTTTCACGCTTCAAATCTTTTTTTTTCATGCAGATTAGCTGCCCACACACTTACTACAACAACAACAACAAAACCATATTCTCATATACAATGAGGTAAGGGAGAGGTAGGGTAATAGACTGCCCTCAATGCCAGGATTGAGAGCAGCTTCCGTGGAAGACCTCCGGCAGTCAGAAAATTAAAAATAAAGATAAAATACAAAATGCATGTATAAATAAATAAATAAATACATAGTTGAACAGTCTTCCTATGCAATCTTCATATGCGCGTCTGTAATGGGAAGTAATCCCGACAAATAAATCCCTGCGTAAAAATTTCTGTATATAGACAAAAACGTAAGACCTAACTAAATTTAAAAAGAGGAAACTTGAAGAGAATGATACGCAGAAGTCAATGATAACAAGTTACGATAATGAATAAAGTCAAATTGGTTAAAACTTAAAATAAGACAGCAATACTCTGCTATTTTAGTTTTAAGCCTTCATAAATTCTAATGAGAGAAACATATATAAAGTAGAAGCCATGAAAATTATTACAAAAACATTAAAAAGAAGACAAAAATATTACACCCTATGACTGTCACACGCATACTCCCCAGGCAAAAGAAATGAGTCTAATGCCAAAGTCAAAATTGACTTTAAAGGTGAAAAAAAATCTTTTCGTGAAAACAGAAGGAAAAAACAAACCCCCATATTAAATGAGCTCGCGGGTAAAGAGTTCTCTACTTGATGAGATGAGACCCACACCCAACAAGCTAGTCCACCAATGATGGTGTTGTTTTGATTGTTTTGTTTTCTCTTCTCCACCGCAGAAAATACTTCAAAAATTCAACGTGTTTAAGGTCTTTAAGTTAATTATAATAAAAACCTTAATTTTATACTAATGCTAATAAATATATTTGTATATTAATTTATAACGTAAATGAAGAGATAACTTATTTTATAGGTAATCGGCTTCTTAAAATTATATTAATTAATTGAAATAACTTCAAGATTTCAAGTAATTTTATATATCAATTATCCTGAACATAGCCGGTATATATTGATATAAGATTATATTAATAAGAACCCGATAAACCAACTAGGCCGGCCTTTCACAGGAACTCCCTTCCCTTGTCCTTGGCAACGTTGGCATTGGATTTTGTATCGGCCACGTTCGTTAAGTAACATCCACCGGATGACACAGACTTTTATTTTATTCATTTTCTTTAAAAAAAAAAAGATATTTGATTCTGTATATTCTCATCCGGTTTACTCCTTTTGCTTATATATTTACCAATACGCCGCCGGTCCCCCGATGTCTAGTTAAGCAAATTTGATTTGTCTTTTACAATCCCGTGTATATAGTTCTATACTACTATCAGCGTTTTTCATTCCTTTAACCCGTCAACAGCCAGTTTTCAGTTCTTTGCTCATCAACAACCCCACAATGTAAGTCTCCCAACTCACATCATCATTTTAATGGCAATTCCATTGACCCTTTTTGTTTCTTTTTTGTTGGGTTTTGGTTATGTTTTCATTTGAATTAAAATGACAGGGAGGAGAACAGATTGAAGCCAATGGATGCAGAGCAGCTCAGAGAGTATGGTCACAAGATGGTTGATTTCATTGCTGATTATTACAAAACCATTGAGAATTTCCCTGTTCTAAGCCAAGTTCAGGTCTTTTTAATCATTTTCCCCTTTTCTCTTGCAATAGTTTGAAAAATAGTTCTAAATTTCTAACGGTCTATGGAGATATACGTTTGAATGTAAATGTAGGTCACTAAAACTGCGGTTTAGATGCTTGCCTCTTTTTTTATTATTATTAATCATGGAATAGTGTGATTTTCCTTAGTTGTCCTTGTTTATTTGTGGTCATGTATATGCAGCCTGGATATCTTCGGAACTTGTTACCGGATTCTGCACCTAATCAACCGGATTCGTTTCAGCTTGTTCTTGATGGTGAAGTTTCTCATTTGATTCTTGAATTTATTAAATTACACCCAAAAAAATATAGAAGAAGAGAGTAATGATAAAATATTTATCATTGGCTGCATCACCGTGTGATTTGGGATGTATTCCCCTAAATAATTACTCTAGTTATGTATCATTTTAAAAGGAAGCATTGTGTTCTTTTTTCATGAATAAATATTCTTCTGATTGCAGACATTCAGGCAAAGATATTGCCAGGTGTTACTCATTGGCAGAGCCCAAATTATTTTGCATACTATCCTTCCAATAGCAGCGTTGCTGGATTTTTGGGAGAAATGCTTAGTGCTGGTCTCAATATTGTTGGTTTCAGTTGGATTACATCTCCTGCTGCAACAGAGCTCGAAATGATTGTTTTGGATTGGCTTGCTAAGATGCTTAAGCTACCCGAAGATTTCCTTTCTGCAGGCACGCACTTGGGATTCCTTTTTTATAAAATTTTGATATATAATGCAACTGTGGGTCTAGGCATTTTCATTGAATTATTTCTGGCACAACAAGAATGAAAGTGTAAAAGATCTCAAAAGTTTATGGAATGAGGTCGGTAACTGTGTTTCAGGACAAGGCGGCGGAGTGATTCAGGGCACGGCAAGTGAAGCTGTTCTAGTTGTATTATTGGCTGCCCGTGACAATGTTTTGAGGAGGGTTGGAAAAAATGCACTTGAAAAGCTTGTAGTTTATGCATCCGATCAAACACATTCTTCCATGCAAAAAGCCTGTCAGGTATTCATGTGAATTAGGGTCCATCTCTACCTTTATTTCTTTACTCCTTTATGTGAGACTAATGAGATGCTGATGATGTTCAAATGGTGTACGATTACCTGATCTATGTATATTATTTAGCTACTGTAGTAAATGCTCATGTTATCTGTTTGAACTAATCGAATCGCATATTTATCATTCAATGGCAGATAGCAGGAATCCATCCTGAGAATTGTAGGCTGCTAAAGGCAAACTCCTCTACCAACTATGCACTTTCACCAGAGTTGCTGAGTGAAACAATTTCACATGACCTTACCATTGGCTTGATTCCGTTCTTTTTATGTGCCACTGTAAGAAGCAAAATGACATCTTTTGCCTTATAATATATACTTTTCCTTTTCACCTGCCCAAAATCACTATTTGATGGAGACATTATGAGATGATTATCTTTGTAGGGTATTTCCTTTACTTTATCGAGCATAGAAGCCTATTAGGACAGTGTCATATCTGTAAAGTTTATGATCAATATTAATAAGTCAGCGCTTTGATTCATTCCTTGATTTTCATATATATAGTTCAAATTGTTTTATCACTGAATGGTATTTTTATTTTCAGGTTGGCACAACTTCTTCAACTGCAGTTGATCCTTTGCTTTCACTAGGAAAGATTGCTAAGGTAATGTAAGATTTGAGGAGGAAACTTGCTCTGGAATCTAGACCAATATAAAAGTTATATTTGATTGGTTGATGCATAAATTTTAAATAATTTCATATATCATTTAACTTTTAGGCATGGAACTGTCATAGCTATAAGATGGAAATATCAAGCCACCTATGTGGACTGAAACATGGAGCACAAGAATTTAAAATTTATGAAAATGATTAAATATGTAACTCATTTACAGTCACAGGTTGTATAAAACCACCACACAAGACTTATGCTACCTGGATTTGGGGTGATTTCCAGGTATATGTATGTGTTTAGCATAGTTTCGCTCATTACTCTTAAGTCTTTTCATCTATTTGCAGGTTCCTTTCTCAAGCCCATGTCCAAATATTTATCGGACATAGGTGTCGAACACGGGTGCTTTAGAAAAAATGAAGATTACATAGAACTAGATTATCTCCATGAAGTTTTTATTATATGATACATGTCATTATCTGGTACATTTGGAAGCAATACAATTTAACTCTTCTTGTTTGCGTTGCCTCTGGACAGAGTTATGAAATGTGGTTCCATGTTGATGCTGCATATGCTGGAAGTGCTTGTGTATGCCCGGAATTCCGTCATTACATGGACGGCGTTGAAGAGGCTGATTCTTTCAACATGAATGCACATAAGTGGTTTCTAACTAATTTTGATTGTTCAGCACTTTGGGTGAAGGTATGCCATCTCTACTTGTTTGCATATGGCAACAACAATAAAATTCCTGTTCCTTACTCTTTGCACTTAGCCTTCATATTGTCGACAATCTGATTTTTGTACACTATCATTTTGGTTGTTTCTTTTTAAGTTTCACAAAGATAAATCACTGCAAAGTTTGTCTTCAATTCGTGTAACTACTGACATGAATCTGTATGTGCTGTTTATATATATGACCCAAGGTCAGTTTGCTAGTTTCAGACTTGTCTGATGTGCATGGTTTGTGACTTGTTCGAGTTATCTGTGGTTCACCTAGCATATTATATTATACTGGTTTTGGATGATTGGGGTGCCTTATTGACCAACAAAATAACGGATAGGTGTATATACATATGAACTAGCAAAATTGTCTCATCAATATGTCATAATAATTCTTGGTTTCGTAAACATGTTTTAGAAAATGCCCTTCATGTTAAATGCTCATATTTCACTGTTACTCCCTCTGACAGGATAGATGTGCTTTGGTTCAGGCCCTCTCTACAAATCCAGAGTATCTGAAGAATAAGGTTAAGTGTTGTTCTATGTTGAGGGAAATCTTGATTTCATCCAAATCTGGATAAGCCTTTAGTTACCTTTTTTGTAAATTGGTTGTGCACACTAGATATATAAGCTGCATTTGTTTCAGAATGTATGGCTGTCTGGCCGACCTTGAACGAGTCAGAACCCGGTTTCTTATGTACACTCATAAATCTTCCATGTTAGTGGCAGCTTGTCTGCTGGAGAAATGAGGACTGGTGGAATCTGAAAACTTAAAAAAATAGTATGAATCCTTTGAAAAAAGTAGAGCTTATCAGTTCACATGATTTAGACACTCCATATTGATTGTAAATTCATTAATCATATTTTACTTGCTTATTCAATAACCACTAGTACTAATTAGTCGGTGTGAATTTCCTTTTGTGCTTCCCTATGCTACCACTTTCAGGCCTCACAAGCAAACATGGTTGTAGATTACAAAGATTGGCAAGTTCCTCTCGGACGTCGGTTTAGGTATGCTTTTCAACTTTATGCATTGAAGATATGGAAGCCTTTTATATTTCCATTTAGAATGAAGATATGTGTATCAGTGTAAAGTGAATGAAAAAGTCGCGTTGTATGGATTTGTAAATCATTTATATAATCAACTAGAAAATCCCTCCAACTAATCCATTATTTGCCTCTAGATCACTGAAACTATGGATGGTATTACGATTGTATGGCTTGGAAAACCTGCAGTGCTATATAAGAAATCATATCGAGTTGGCCAAACATTTTGAGAACCTGGTTGTTCAAGATCCAAGATTTGAGGTAGGTGTGCTCATATATATACATACATGTATATAATATATATAATTGATGTAGATCTTAAGAGCCCCTTATAAGTTTTAACTGAAATGATTAAAATATTAGTCATTCACTTGATTGCTGTGTAGGACCTTACTTAAACAGGAGTGTCAGAGGATGTGCTTTGTGGCAATGACTCTATCCCCTATGAGAACCATCTAATGTTTAGAAGTTCATGATATTAATAATGAGCAGATACCGAGAATAAAATCAGCCGTTTTGGATCTGTTTAGATTAAAAAATATAGAAATAAATAAGGCAAACTTCCTTGATATGTATCGTCTAATCCTTCTTAAACTAGGACATGTGACGAATTGGAACTAGAGCTATAGACGTACTGCATCTTAATCAGGTTGCACATTACAATGTCTGCCTAAAGCATTGGACAACTGGATATATACGGTTGTCAAGGGGTCGCAAAAGTTTTCCTTTTTATTGGATCCGAAGTTCATGATTATCGTAATCTGGCTGATGATGTGAGATTAGTTGCTTAATGATACCAACTAAGTCCATAATGCTGTATCTATAAGCCAGCCTGCTGGTTTTTCATTTTTCATGTTTAGCCTTTAATGAAACTCTCTCGTAAAGTCTAATTCGATGCCCAGATGCAACAAAAACACAGAATATAGCCTTAAGAGAGTAACAATTCTCAAGACGTTCTACTGATAAGAAAGATAATTTCATTTATTATTCTTTTGCTCATGCTCGAGTTGATGTCTATGGTTGATTCATGCTAAGAAAAAAATGCAATGTTAATGATGGATCCCTGGTATAACTCATCTGAGCAGGTTGTCACCCCTCGGATATTTTCATTAGTTTGTTTCCGCCTTCTGCCTCCTAATGATGAAGATGATGGCAACAAATTGAACCATGACCTTTTAGATGCCATAAACTCAACAGGGAATGTTTTCATATCGCACACGGTAAGCTTGCTGTGTACGGTATCTGAACTACCGGTATATACATTGTTGGTGCATAATCTAAGAGCAATGAGTTACATGAGGAATGCAGGTTTTATCAGGCAAATATGTGCTAAGGTTCGCGGTCGGTGCTCCTTTGACAGAAGAGAAGCATGTGAATGCAGCATGGAAAGTTTTGCAAAATAAGGCCACTTCCATACTAGGGGAATCCTTCTGCTAATGTTTCTTTTTTTTTTAGTGTTCAATTATTGATGATATCGTCTTAAAAAGGTTGTTAATTGCAATGCTGTCATGGGCAACCTCATCTTTCCCCTTAAAATTGTTGGCTTCCGTTCTGAGTTATAGGCAATTTGGAAACCTCAAGACTGTCAATATTTATGAAAATAAAATGGCAATCTGTGAACATTGCACAATAAATTATTTGTAAAAATAAAAATTTCTACCACCTACTACCTATATATCAAATAGTCATTAAATAAAAAATCTCCATTATTTTCTGAATGAAAGAGAAACCATGTATAAGAATGCAGTAATTGTGGAGGCAAATGGGTTGAAAAACCAACAAAAAAAAATTGTTTGAAATGGTGAAAGGAAACATGTTGCAATATAAATTAAAATAAATCAACCCTATTTTTTGGTTTTAATATTAGGAAAATAAAGTCTTTATTATATTTATATAGTTTTATAATTAAATTTAAATAAAATATTATTTTATCATCATATTCATAATTCGGGTCATAATAAATTAATACAAATTTCTGATTTTTTTGAAGTATAATTGTGTTGAGTGCATACAATATAATTTAGGGTGAATTATGTATTTAGTCACCCACATATTTTTGCGGTTCCATTTTGGTCATTTAATTATTTATTTCCTTCAAAATCATACTTAATGTTACGTTTTAATCACCCGTCATTAAAAAATAAACAAAAATGATGACGTGATTTTTTCCCGATGATGATGTGACATGAACTTATGATGACATGTCAGCATCACTTTTTATTTTAAATGGCGGATGATCAAAACGTAAAGTTAGGTATGCTTTTGAAAAAAATAATAGTTAGATGATCAAAATGGAACCACAAGAATAAGTGGGTGATTAGATACTTAGTTTACCCTACAATTTAAAACATTGCAATATGGTAGCTATTTGTACAGCTCAGCTACCACATTAGCAATGAAGAGAAGCAGACAAATAAGAAGAGTGGAACCGATACTAACATTAGAATGGTAGCGAACTCTGGTGTGCCCACCCTGCTACTAGACCTTGGACCCGAACAACAACACTCCTCCCCTAACTTCAAATCTCCAGAATAGAGATGAACCCCTGAATTCTTGATTCTTAAGCTGCTCCCCACCAAAACATAGCTATTAGCTCCTTGGACGTTGCTGTTGGTATAGATGTTGATGCAGCAGCAACCCTCCCATGGTCTGTCCGAGCTGCTGCTGCCACGACCGATGAATTTCGTTTCCCCCACATTGCTTCCTTCCAAGTTAATGCGGTTCAAAGACCCTAAGTTGATTTCTGGGGTCGTCCTGCTGCTGGTTCTTGACATTGTTCGATTGGTTTTTTGTTTTTGTTCTTTTCTGATAGCTTCGTGTTTGAATTGTGGGGGGGGGGGAAATAATAATAATAATCAGAGATTCTGAGTCTATTGCTAATGCTTTTGCTTTCCCTGTGCCATGAGGTGTGTGTGTTATTCACTTTTCGGCAGCTACAAGAAGAACACAAGGTTTCATACTTGCAATGAAAGGCCAAAAAAAAGTCTACACTGCACCGAAAGTTCGTGACAATGTTGTACATTGTGATTAATTCAGTATCTAAGTCTTTGTCTCGTCCAAAATGAAAATAGACAGGTGTTTGTCTTTCTCGTCTTTGATGACAGTATATGCTCTTCCGATCTGTGTCATTGTTCAACAAAGACTAAAAATATTATTGCAAACGTGTCGGTGATAGTTAAAAATGAAACATTTCTAATAAGATATGTAATAAATTCTGAAAACTGATACATTCTATTAATCTGATCCTGATTCGAAACAATTCAATAAATTTAACGCTTTATATTTAAAATTTTTATAAATTTAATTTTTTTATAATATTTTCAAACTAAAACAGTAGTTAAATAATATTTAAATGACTAATTTATTATCGAATATGTAAATATTAGGTTGGAGATTTGGAAATTAGGTAATACTGGATTGGGACTTTGGGTTCTTCGCTTTAGACCAACTTGATCCTTTTTCTCCATTTAGGCCACGTACAATGTGAATGAACTCCAACAAATTCGAAATATTACAATATCGATCATTAGAAAACTAGCTTTGGGTGCTCCCTTGCCAACTGAGACATTTGACTTTACTGACATGTCTTTCAAAGAGAAACCGGTTGACAAACGTAATGCATGAGAAAGAGGAGAAAGCTGCATTCCAGTGAAGATAGGTGTCAAAGATGGACCGAGAAAGAACAATTAGAGGTAGTGATCTTCCTAAAAATTTTAAGTTATTGTATATTTTACTTTTTTATATTTTCTATTGATAATATATTTTCTTCCCTTGTAATTTTAACAGAAAATTATGCGTCCCTTCCCGATAATGATGCACCACTTGATTCAAATTGCATGTTATGGAATCTGAAGTAGTATTACTCAAACATGGAGTGCACTTATATGCAGATATAATTAACAAGATTTCCGTACTAAGAAAATAAATTTTAAAGAATCGTATCCGCCAAGTACATGTTTAACACAGATAAGTCAATAAAAATATAAAACAGATATGAGATGGGTGCAATAAGCATAATAACATATTCAGAAAAATATGGTCCTGTTGAATGTCAACTTTCTCATTGGATATAACTGAAGCAAAATTCATTGCATCAAAGCCAAAGTAGATGAACGAGAAACAAAATTTATATTCTTCGGTCTACAAGTGAAAATTTTAGGCAGTATTAGAAAGTTGGACTCTACAACTTGTCCTAACTACAGTGGAACATTTGTCCTTGGCACTACTTTATTGCCCTTCAGTGTGTTATTTATTAACTCTACTCCTCCGACTTATTTTCCGTTACATAGGTAGGTATGCCGAGTTGCTAAGTGTTAACTGTGCATGAATACCCCAAATTCACTCAAGGGATGGATGAGTTAATTGAAATTACTTTGATATAGAAATTACTTTTCCTCTACTTTGTGGTTTTGGTTAAATGGCTTGATGTGCAAATCTGTCGTCGCTATTCACAACCGAGATTGCCAAGAGAAGCAGCAATACCTTGTTCACTCTTGGATAGGGCCGTCTTAGCTTCCGATGCCCGAGTTGAAGAATTTTGGGACAGGCAATCTGTTTCAAAATTCTGGTATGCCACTTGATCTTGATGAATACTCGGTTACCAACTTTAGAAACATGGATGATTTATCGTCGAGGAGACGTTGCGGAGTATTAAACTCTGCTACTCGACCTGAGAATAAGTTCCCAATTCATTGGGGAAAAAGTTAATACTATCAATCACTTTACACCGATGAAATATTTACAAAAGTGGCTTTACATACCGTCACTAAGCACCAAAACAAGATCACTGTCAATTACTGTTGGAATACGATGTGCAATAGTGCAGACTGTGCAGTTCTTGAACTCCGTCCGGATGATCTTCTGGATGAGATTGTCAGTGGCAGTATCAACTGATGCCGTAGCTTCATCTAGCAAAAGTATTCTTGCCTGTTTGAGCAAAGCCCGACCCAGGGATACAAGTTGCCGCTGCCCCACGCTCCAGTTATCTCCGTTTTCTGAAACTGCATATTTTTTACATCAAATAAAAATGATCAATCAACCACATGCAACTTCAAAGGGCATTTGCCTCTCCTTTACATCAATGGTGTCCAGGAGCCTGGAGGGATGGTACCAACCTAGTGCATCAAGCTTGTGTTCTTTCTCACGAACAATGTCTCCAAGCTGAGACTTCTCAAGTGCCTGAGACAGAATTTCAGTACTTATCGGTGCACATCATTCAGCATGATCATATTACAAGATTCAACAAATCATATTTTGACATGGCAAGATTGTTACTTGAGAAAAGATGATATAGACATTAATGTTCGAGAATTGTTCTGGTGCTAAGTGGTATTTATAAATCAAAAGGGCATTTTTTCAATAATGATGATGTTCGAGAATGTGTATAAAGAGATAAATGCCAGAACGTGAAAGAAGAAACCTGTGAACTCAACAAAACTGGTGAGAATGCAAGTGAAACTCATACCTCCCAAATATCATGATCTGAATGCTCTTCAAGAGGATCAAGATTGCATCTAATAGTTCCTTCAAATAAAGTAGGATCCTGGGGTATGATACTAAGACGGCTACGAAGGTCATGGAGCCCAATTGTTGAAATGTCGATGTTGTCTATAATGATTTTTCCACCGGCTGGTTCAATCAATCGGAACAATGCTTGGATCAAAGTAGATTTACCGCTGCCAGTACGCCCAACAATTCCAATCTTCATGCCGCCAGGAAATGCACAGGATACCCCATGAAGCACCACAGGAAGATTTTCGCCATATCGAACCTTCAAAACAAGGATATAAAAAGAAATGAAAAAGTCAGCATGTGGTGCCTGTAATATTTAAAGAGAGAATGTTTTATCCTTTTTCTCCAACATCATTGGAAAAATAAAATCATGCATCCCCCATTGATCACACTGTCCTCTACAAAGTCTCCCCCTCCTTTTTTGGTTTTTGGAAGGCGAACAAATATCATTAATATAATTCAAATTCCCCAATTAAGTAAACTTCATCAAGCAAGGGAGTAGAGAGTACAAAGATGACAAAACCGATATTCAGTTTTTAGCAAGGAGTTCTTGAAATGTCTTGAGATTGTACAATATCATGCAATGAAGTACTACTGGGAAAGAGCCAATGGAGAAAGGACACATGTTTATGTTGCAAGTAAAAAGAAAGTACTGCATGTTGTCATGAAGAACAACTGGATATGGTATACCTTTAAATCAACCATTTCAATTGATCCATTTTCGGGCCATGAGGACGGAGGGCGAGAGTTTTCAATAACAGGAGGAGCTTCACTCTGAATTTGGCTGTACTGATAAATCCTCTCTATGGAAATAATTTTATTCTCAAGCTTGCAAAAGCTAAGTATCCACCGTGATAGCCGTGCATTTAAGTTAAGGCCATATGTCACAGCAAGGCCTGCCATACCTGTTTAAAAGCAGCAGGAATCATTAACATCAGCATTTAAGATGACTAACAAAAACTTTTTTTTTCATTTTTGTGATATAACTGATATAGTCTTGTACTAATGAA